TAATTACAGAGTGGCCCAACGAGAAGTATACAGAGGGCTTTTAGGGTATTAAATTTAGAAATTTCGAAAAATCCTCGAACACGTCAATTTTGTATTCGAGGGGGAGAACTTTTGGAATACAAATCACGAACCCAAGTCTTCACCCCTCTACGTAGGGAGCTTAACCCCTAAAATTTTAAATAGAATCCTATGGCAAATGGCACGATATTTGAAAGCCAATCTAATCGTGATTACTAATCTGCTTTGCTTTTTAAATTCTATTGATTCGTTTCGGAGATATTTGAATTTGAAATGGTTTTTTCTAAAAAAACCAAAACAAATGCGATCTAAGTTACCTTGTATTAATAAAGGTTTAAATTGTGCAAAAAATAACAAATAACTTTAAACACACTACATTTATTTCAATAAATGCTGGAATTGCCTTCCGCCTGCTTCCATGCAATAATAAAGATTTGCTTCAAAACACTGCCGTACATGTTGCAAGATTTCAGGGGTAATCGCTCGAAATTGTTTAGTTATACCATAGTGTATTCTATTCTTACACTACGGTTATACGTGCTCGCAACCCTTGTAATGTTCCGGGCGGAGTAGCATAAACGTTATACTTTAAATATCCCCACAAGAAGTAATCTAAAGGACTTAAAGGGGGAAAAACCATTTCAAATGCGAATATCTCCGAAACGAATCAATAGAATTTAAAAAGCAAAGCAGATTAGTAATAACGATTAAATTGGCTTTCAAATAATGTGCCATTTAAAATTTTAGGGGTTAAGCTCCCTACGAAGAGGGGTGAATACTTGGGTTCGTGATTTGTATTCCAAAAGTTGTCCCCCTCGAATACAAAATTGACGTGTTCGAGGATTTTTCGAAATTTCTAAATTTAATACCCTAAAAGCCCTCTGTATACTTCTCGTTGGGCCACTCTGTATATTACGTCATTTCCTTGCCTCTATTCTAGATGGAAACAGCAAAAATGTGTCGCCCCACTTAGGTATATCTTTTTTAGGGGAATTTTTCGAAAGAACTCGGCAACGACAACAGATAGCGGGTTCTACGCTGCGAGTTCAAGGACCATGTAACATTCCGTTGAAATCTGCTGGTAGACTTTAAAGGGGCAATTCCAGTACCTTCTCCCGGCGCATTTTTAGAGGAAAGTAAAAATTGAGATGGGAAACCCAGTCCCTATAGACATCAGACCTCTTACCAACAACTAATATTTGGTCAACCAAAAATTATAACGAATACTTTTTAAAACTATTTGATTTATCAACGGTAATGATTCGCAATTTTGTTGTAAAGGTAAATAGCAGATTAAACTCCATTATGACTGAATTGTTTTTCAACTTTTATTATTTGAACCCCCTAAAAAGTATGTCAAACATTGACTATATTCCGCATAAACGTCATACTTCAGCAGAGAGAGTATAGGTTGCCTCGTAACTTTAGAGAGACGCGTCATCGAGGATCCAGAAGTCCCATTTGATTGGTGTTTAAATTTTCGTTTGACAGTTAGGTATATTTGAACTGTGTAAGTCTTAGACAAGGAAAGAGAGGTGTAAGTACTTAATTATCAGATAATGTTGAAGATTCTATTACGTAGGTATAGGTACTTATTATAATTCGAACTTACTGTTGGATACTTAAAAATCAATATAAGCTATTAGATGCCGGATGGAAATCTTTGTAGCGTTGCTATATTTTTATTTTTTATTTTTTTTTATTTTTATTTTTATTTTTATTATCCCTCTCTTGTTTTGGGCCCTCAACAGGCATGCGCCCAATTACAGAGTGACCCGCATAATGCTATTTAGAGGTGCCTCTGCATAAGGTCTTAAGATGGTCTATACTACTCCGGTATTTACCTTACGAATTAGGAAAACTGCAGGAAAACCTAATTCGGAGTAGCCGGTAGAATGCTCGGAACTGGCCTAAGGTAATTTCCATCTCCGCCACAGATGAAAAATTCACCTCAACCCAGGTTCGAACACCCGACCTTCGGATTTATAACCCAATGCTCTTACCACTGAGCCATAAATCCGATCTATATGCCATAGCAGCTCCAACAAATCGAAAGCAAATCGCAGATTTAGTTTTTCGCTTTTTTTTGCATTACAAAAAGAATGGGTTATAAAGTGCAATGGAAAGGGAACCTGAACCCCGATTCAATAGACTGTGCACTCTGCATTTCCCCGGCCGAAGACTATGAAGATGAAATGTAAGCTATTTTAATAATAAAGTGTGTGGTTTTCAATGTTTCCGCGTAACACCTGCTCTTAATATGAGCCGGATTAAATCGCGTGTTTCTGAATATGACTTGTGGGTAAAAAAAATCTCCCACTGAAAATCGTATGCGATTCTTCGAATCTGACCGTATATGTATAAGTTAAGCATAACTCAAATACCATAGCAACGATTGTCTTAATAAGCGTTGCCATAGATTTTAAGTTCGACTTAACTTAAGCAAGGCTTAATTTTGTTGGTGCAACTGGGACATAGTTACCGTTTCGCTAATTCTATATGCAACTACAAACTCGACTTTTTACTTTTCATAGGAAATTTCCGTTTAATTTGTTGTTTATTAAATGAGGATAAAGAAAATTCGATCATAAAGATTAAATTAAGCCCGGCTCCCCGGCCACATACCTACAATTTGTAAAAAACCAATTCATTTCGATGAAACCTTTGTTTAAAATACCATGAAGAGGTAGAATGTGTGATACCCCCCTCTCTTTCTTAAACTTTTACTTAGCACCACTAAAGGCCTGGGTATACAAAATCTGAGACCAATTGGTTGTTGTATGTAAACGCGAAATTTGATGACCGTCTGGCACACCTTCGAGATATAGGCTATTTAGGTACTTATTGCAAACAATTCGAAGACTCTAGAACAATTCCCCTAAAAGTAGTTCAAAACCGCAGAAATGGACCCAGACAGACGAACGCACGTCATAGAAACTCTAAAGCAGATCCCCCTTACGTTGGTTAGAAACAACCCTATAACCTGAAGTGTCGTAGGGAAGGAACACCAAATACATCAATATAAGTGGTATTTTAAATGTCTTTACATTTTGATGTTTGATCGCTGATCAGTTACCTTAATATATAGTCATCTAGATCCCAATGGAATGTAGGGTGACTTAAAACATAGATCTAAAAATAAACGTGCAACCGCACCCGCAGACGAAATAACGTGCATTATTGTCTAATGAGTAATTCCAGTAACGTACTAAGAATAACTAAAAAAACAATAATTCCGTTTCCTTAATAGCTATATTTATATATCAAGTACATAAACTGGGTCTTTATGGACGAGCCGTTTATTTAGCCGAGCGAGCTTGCAAGCGAGGCACAAATAAACAATTATACTTGTTGCACGACCCAGGCGATAACCCTTATTATTCACCGCTGTTCACGAACCGGCAATGCATTAGTGATTAGAATGTTACTGAAAAGCAACTTTTTCGTAAAGAAAATAATCAAAGAGCGGTAGAGTAGCATTCTATTTCACTGTAGGTACGTGTGTTGATGACAGCGGCGAATAGGGTAATTTACCGACAGGGTCACGAAACGAGCAAAATTTCGAGTCAGAAACTGATGAGTAATGTTCGAGGTAATATTGTTAGTAAAAATGGAAAACACGAGTGGTTCCACATTAGATCCCTAAGAAACATCGCTCGATGTTACCAAAACAGATATATGTTCAAATATTACCCAAAAATACACAAACAGAATTGAAAAATTCGAAAACGCTCGCGAGTTACACAGACAAACAGAAAGTCCAATATTATGAAGTGATAGGCATCGAGTAATAGCTTGTTTGAAAGGTCATTCGAAGTACTTTATTTTGACGTTTGATGTGTTAAAAATCGGTCGATTTCCAGAAAATCAGAACAATCTTTATTTAATTTATTGAATCGACATAGCCTAGGTATCTTAATTTGTTCAGGTAGAAAATAAAAATGTCAAAATATCACTTTTATTTCAATAATGCACAGGCGCGCGTATATATGCGCCTCGTGTATAATATCCGTCGCTGGTGCTACTCCTTGGAAAAGAAACCCATAATGGAAGCGACGATTTCTTACTGTACTTAACACCACCTTCGAAAAATGCACCTGATTTCCTATTCGGTATCCTCTGGAAATTGAACTATTTGAATAAAGGAGTTAGAGACTCATAACGTCATTCTGGTTCTCCCTCGATACCTCCGAAACGGTTTTGCGCGATTTTCAATATCTTCTTTAGTTTAGAAAATATGGCCGAATGCAAAATTGACACCCCGTATATTTTAATAGTGTTTTCTCAGTATATTGATCATTGCTGAATATCCTTGGAATATTCCAGACGAACGTTTTATGGATATTCAGGATATTTGGAATATTCACATACCTCTAGCATAAAAGAATTTTTAACAATATCCAATGTCACCTGGCTTTCTTTGCGTTTTTCTATTGAATTTGGTTACCTACGATACATTTTCTATATTCATGAAGGTGTGCATAAGATGTGCAATAAAAAACAGTGGGTATTTAAAAAAATAGGTACTTATTCCCTTTTGACTCTGCAGACGTACGCCACTGATCACAATTTAGATTTGTAGCAAACTTTTATAATTTTGGATATCAAAAAGTGTATAAAAATGTTTCAGACAAAATTACCATCCTCTATGGGCCATTGCTTATACCTAACAAACCTCAGTTTCTGTCCAATTCCACAGAGCCAAAGTAACATTAATTTCAGACTTACCACAAATTTCTTTTGGTAGTGATTCAACACATTTATTCAGGCAATTGTATCCTCAATCAATTTCCGACACCTCTTCCCAATTTATTAACAGATTGTGGAAACAGGTGTCAGGAATTGATTGGGGGAGGGCTGGACCTGCGTTACGCCACTGGTAACATGCACTACCTCTCATATCAAAGGTAGAAAAATATGCATTTCCTATCAAATCAATTTTTATATATTTTTATTTCCCAGAAACAAAATAATAAACATACTTATAGTAATATTATGTTTTACTTGTAAGTAAACTAACCATATCTTTACTGATTACTGTTTCCTATAACTGTTGAACTGTAAGGAGCAAGAAACACGAATAGTAGATTGAAGTTTTACAATATGCAAAATATCTACGATACTTTAATAAAGCTCCACATATCACACATTTTAAGTAAATATTACAACCCCAAAATAATTTACTCTGCTTCAAAAATAACTATAGAATATTTATAATACATTTGACAAGATCATTACAAGCCAGCATTATTCATACAATATCACAGAACTATACCTTTAGTTTTGAATACACACAGTGTGCTGTATTAAAAACTACTACAGACCCAAAATCAGTGCTGTATGAATAAGGCTGAAGGAAACTTAATTATCGCTTATATCTACATCAGCAAATTCAGAACCCAACCAACCAACACAAATGCAGTAATGTTGAAATAACTGGATTAGCAGTTCTTGCTCATCTAAAAATTCGAGTTTCTCTATACGCTGCCTCTCTGAAGTAGGCAGCGCATAATACACTTGCACCATATCCCACGCCTTTGACCCCACCCAATTATTATCCAAAAATCTGTTGCGTTGTGTTTCTAGGTTTTTGCAAGCGGCAATACCGGACAAAGTACAACCTCTAGCCCTCAAGTTTCCTAGCATAACGTCACCGAAAGTGTCATTCATATTACACATTTCGTAATTAACAAACAGGGCAGATTTAAATTTAGAAGCGGTCCACGACAACAACCTATTAATACAGTCATTTTCAATATACACTAACACACATTCTGCAATGAATAACGTGGGACTATCGAAATTGATTTCGGCCTGTTGAAATTTCGTCTCCAGTTCACCAATATTCCTTAAATCTGCACCAATTAAATGATAGGTGCCGGCGTGTAGGTCAGTAGCACTCAACTTTACTTCACCATCCTGTTCGTAAATTTTGTCTAACAGTCGTTTATTTTGTTTAATAATGTAACACTTTCTCGCGGTCACTGATGGAAAATCGATTTCGATAAAGTTAGCGATACGTATGCCGTCGTCCTTCAGTTTCCAATAGAGAGTGTCAAAACCCGATCCTAAATTGATGATCTGTCCTGTACTGCCAACTTTTTTGATAAATTTATAAATGAAATTCTCCACTCCTTTGACACGAGCGTAGTAACCACGGTGGATTTCGGGGGCCTTCCGTTGTATTTGTTTGACGAATAGGGAAATGTAATCATCCTCCCAGTAACCCAATTGAACTGCACAACGTTTACATTCGCTAGCATCGTCGTTAGTAGCCATTATAGGTTCGTCGTTCATTGTTAAATTGATGGTAAAATCTAAAAGATTTATAGGTTATCATTTCATAACAATTAAATGGCACAAAGGCACATTTGTGGGAACAAGTAAAAGCTTACCCGACGTATATTAAAATTGTTAATATCAATTTAAAGATGGAAGTTGCACTATTTAATAACAATTTATTACGATTTTAGTAGAGTTTTTGTTCGACAGGAAAAAAACTGCGCGAAAGCCGACGTGCGCATTCCGGCATCGAGCGACTGTGTGCATTCAACGCGCACTCGCGATCCCGGAAAATCTCCAGAGGCGTAGATGTGAACTATAAATATCCTGACGACGTACTTCATTAAATTATGGCCCACATCTTTTAACACAATTATTACCAACAGATATTTTTATTATATTATATTGATGTATAAACAACCTACTTGTTATATTATTTTAACGAATAGAGAAGTTTCGCGTATCACTTCAAATCCAAAACCTTTCACCCCGACGCAAATGCTAAATAGCTTTTAATATTATTTTTATTAATTTACTAAGACATTTTTACTAAATAATGCTGGCCTTCACTTACAATTTTATGGTGAATATTTCTTAGCGCAATATAAATTCTTAATCCGTCTTATAAAATAAAATTGCGACGACGGTGTACTTACAAACAAATTATTGTTGCGATTTTGTAATTAAAATAAGAAGCCGTATAAAAGGGAGGTACCTGCACCTGCACCTGATTATGCGAATAGAAATTAATTTTATCTCTCATGGTAGGATACCAACTGCCGCTCTCCTTTCTGACCCCTTATCAAACCGGGAGGGGGGGGGGGGCTGGTATCCTTCATGGTACTCTAATGAAAGGTCTCAACCAAAGCAATTAATTTCTACCAGCCATAGCCCTTCTCCTCTACACCACATCGTGATCGTTTAAGAACGAATATCTGGAAAAGTAGGAAAGTATCTCACAAAGGCAAAATGAATCGGATGTACGAGACATATCTATTGCTGAAGTCGAAACGAATATTTTGAAAATGAAGTGTCGGAAGAGGATCCTCATAAAGGGCAAGTGAAGCAATGCAATATACATATACAGCGTGTTGCATCGACAGGTGGGACATAGGACATAGGACATAGGACATAGGACATAGGACATAAATATAAGAAGGTTAATCATTGGCTTCTTTAATTCTTTTAGAGGAAATATCTACGAGTAGGTTATTTGAAGAGCATTAAAATCCACATCTTTTTGATAATTCTATCAACTGTTGATTTTGTGGGTATCGGCCTGTTCAGGTACTGAGCAGCAAACATGTCTGTTACTTGTCGATAACAATTTCCTTGACAATGCCATTACTTTCTCTTCACCAGTCGTGTAATTAATGGCTAATAATAGAAATAAAGCATTAAATTTCAGTATGACAACTTCATTTGACTATGAACCTTTACCTCAATTGTTCCCTGATGTAAAATACGGGGCGATAAGAAAGGAGAAATTACAAGGGGCTAACCAAAAACATCAAAAGTTATTTTTTTAGATGCGGATTATAATGCTCTTCAAATAACCTAAATATAGATTTTTCCTCTAAAATAATAAGGGAAGCCAATACTCAACCTCTTTCAAATTTACATGGTATTTCCTATGTCCCGACTGTCGATGAAACACGATGTATAGGGTAGATTTTGAATGTATGCTAGGCGGCCTTTAAATGTTGACATGTGTAAAGAGCCCCTTCCCCATTAATATCTACCAAGAAAGTAGGCATCGATAAATATAGCATGCTTATACTATACCAAAGAGTATAAATACTCTTTGATTATACCAATACCTTATAATCCAACCATTTACTAAGCTATTTCCAGGCCAGGCTATTATGACTTTTGTTCACTTCTGCTGAGTGCTAGCAACGATTTGGTCTCAGTCTTAAAATTATCTGCTGCAATTAATGTGATCTCTATTTCGTAGTAAAATAAGATTAATTAAAAAGGCGAATTTCGAACTCGTCTTTTTAAAAAATCTTATTTTACTAGGGAATAATGAGTACACTTGCAGCAAACAATTAATGTATGGCACTTGTTTACTATTTGACAGTCTTTGGTATTTTATTATCACGGTTTACTCCTGTTTATAAACATTAATGTGTAACTGTTTATAGTGAAAAATATTGAATAATCTAAAAACTACGGGGTTTAGGCACATGATATCTCTTCTAAGAATTGAAGAGCGCACAACAGACCATCGAATAGAGAAACAAAATAGTGGTAGCTCCATTTGAATAAAAATAGTTATAGCACTTTGAAATCTAGAAATTTTACCATTTTTTTGTAAACACCCTGTATCATTAAATTCAACTTTCTCATTACCAAAGTGATGCCTTTTAATCAGATTAAAATTCTAGATTTCTATTTCTTAACTTTAAAATCAAATCGCTACGATTTATCAAAGTGGGGCTGGTTTATAGAAAATTATTCGGAAAAAATTAATAATTTGACCTGCAGATGTTAAAAAATGTCATGGAATTAGCTAAAAATAGACCGGCTGTTTCATTTAAAAACATCAGCTGTGTATTGACACCGTAAACATGAGACACTTGGTACATTCAAAAATAATTTCTGTAGATGCACAACCTTCTATAGTTGACATTTGCACAAAAGATTTTTTGATATTTTTTTACCAGGTATGAGCTACGAAAGACCGACGCAGTGTTATAGGACCCTGTATTGTTATAAACAAAAAACGAAGAAATAAGAATGGGAAAATTTCGTTTTTTTTTTTGGTTTTGATTTCAATTATCTCGTTATCTATTGCTCTGAGGGAAAATGAAAAGAAATGAATTTGTTTAGAATCGAATTTCCTATAAGATACATTTAGTATGGAACGTTAATTTTAAAATTTTTTTCATAGAAAGATTAAAAAAGTAATTCCGAAAATTGGCAATCTGTTACTAAGCAAAATTCATCCTATCTTTTATATTATACGTAGTTGGCCACTTCTTTTGATAACAAAACAATATGGCAACCGATCACCCGATCACCGTAGGTATCATAGTCATTGATTAATTAAAAACACAAAATAAAAAACCATGCTTTGTCTTTCAAAGTGGGTGACTCTCAGATTCTCCCCCAAATCTTTCCGCTAGTGGAACCCTAAACCAACCGTTTCCAACAATTGTCCCGATGATTCTTACAAATTGACGGACTGTCAAATTTTGTTTCAAAATCAGAAGAATTTTGCTAGTTAACAAATGGAATAATTTCTGAATTAATATAACAAGAAATGTAACTCCATAATAGGCGAACAGAAACCTCTCGGAAAATGTACATTAAAGAAATACGTCGAAATCCGTCCGTCAATTTGCAAAAATCATCGGGACAGCTTTTGGAAAAGTTGCTTTGGGGGTTCACCATCTGTACAAAAAACGCTATGGGAGTTTACCCAACTTGTTTGTTTATTTAATCAATGGCTATGATACCTACGGTGATCGGGTTTGTCGTATTGTTTTGTTATCAAAAGAAGTGACCAAATACGGATTTTCAAAAAGATCGGATTTAAGTCAATGGCATATATGTATCTTCAACCCTTAATATATGATAAGCAATCAAAGATACTATGAATGCCAACGCAATCAAGATGCTCAACTTTAAATGGTTGATATGGCTAAACGATTAAAGATAGATATATGCCATCGGGGACTTTTTTGTAGTACATTTAATTGTCTCCAATGTTTGTTCTATAAAATTGTGTGTATCCCAATTGGTATCGGCAGCGCAGCAGCAGTGCGCGCGACTATTATAAGTACCAACAAAAGAATACAGGATTGAAATCTTCAGTGCAAACGCAATTCGTAGCATAATATTCGCTATAAAACCGATTATATTTTTATAAAAGTGGGAGAGGTACACCTTACCTCCCCGCCGATTGTCTCGGAACCACAAGTTCCCATTTAGTTAGATTTCTTCCTAATTTTATACCTATTCAAAGCTAAAATGCACTCGATCTTGGTTTTAAATCAGGATAAGCTTACCTCAAATTTTGTTGCCTCCTGGAAAAAACTCTCGATCAAAAGCATAAGATAAAATCTCTCCAGTTAAAGATGTCGCGATTTTATCACGCTTTTGATCTCTCGTTTTTTCCGTTGCAACAAAACTTTCGTGTAAAAATAAAATTATCCCATTAAAAATCAAGCTCTTCTGTAGTTACCCCCGAAACAGTTGTTTTGCCCTGCATGCGAGTTATACGTGTTATCCCTTAATAGTGCAAAAGTCATTAAAGAATGAAACTATAAATATATACAGGGTGTATCATTATATATTGAATATATTGAATATATATTGAAAACGTATTTTGTTGGCCAATCGGTAAAAATAAAATGCTAAAACTTTTATTTGGAATTTTTTTGTGTCCTCCCAAAATCAATGAAAATAAGTGGAGGTCGAAATATACTGAAAGACACAGTACCCAACGAACAAATACAGGTAATGGAATCGGACAAATTACTCCTCTTCTTTCAATAAGTTATTTTTATTTTTGTCCATTAGCTCCCAGGCATATACTTAAATCACTTCTTCCCTAAGTCATGGCCTATTATTGTGTACTAAATTTTACTTTTATATGTCAAAGCGTTTTTGTGTTCCCGCTCCGCTCCATAAAGTGATCGTTGGTGCGCCGGTCAGACTAACGACAGTGTTTTTTTGGCGTGATGATTGATAACAGAATTTTTCGACTCCTCGCGCTTCTTGATGAGTTACATTAGCAGGTCCTTATGAAATGCGGGAGATTAAACGTTTTTCAATTCCAAACTTTTATAGGTATTTATTTTATAGCACATGTTAAATAGACATTTTAATAGGTTTGGATGAGTAGGCTGAACCTTTCTTTAACCGTAAGGATAGATAGTGATCACTTTAACAGTAAGGGTAGATAAAGTGAAACAAATGATTGTGCATTCTAATGACAGCTGTCATTCTTATTTCAATTCAGTACATATAACAAATTCTGTCTCTATGGAATCGATTGCGACGGCAGAATTTAAGCTTGCTATTTTTGATTAAATTGAGAATTGTCAGAAGCTTTACCATGATTTATATGACTTCTGCTATAAAATAAGGTTTAGTATTGCACACGACGATAAAGTAAAACTAACCATCTCGTGAAAGTTAATTCACTCAATGGCTAAAACATCCCTTTATCGTCTTGTATAATAAATGAATTTATTTTTGAAATGCTGGAGTAAGATGGCATAGGTACTTCACCATTGATATAAATTTATTGATTTAGCATT